AAGGTGAATTCAATGTCCAGTAATTCCTTCTGGCTTTCTAAGAGCTATGAGACACAAAAGTGTGAGAAAAGTCATCCCGGCACTAACAGGATTAGCTCAGCTTCATAAACTAATCACTTTGGCCAGAGAGAATAAAGAGGAAAGCAATGGGCATGGGCAAGCAACATAAAGATAATGGAAGTTTCCATTAAATATCAAGGAGTGAGAGAGAGAGAGTGTGTGTGTGTGTGTGTGTGTGTGTGTGTGTTGTCTAACTCACAAAGACTGTCCTCTTTTCCATTTCAGGGGGCTTGTTCAATATGAAATGGGAACGTGTCTTATCTCAGCTTTCCCTAAAAGCAATCCCAATGCCTGGCACATAAGCTTCTATAAAAGCTTTGTTGAATTATTAAATCAAGGCCATTCTGATAATCATAGAAGCAGCAATTAATTAAGAGAGGCAGAGTAGTGTGGCAGCATGAGGACTAGATTTGTGAACAGACACTAGGATCTGCTTTTTTCTTGGCATCACTTGCTGGAGAGACTTGAGGAAATCACTTGATTGCTCAGGAACCTTATTTCCATCTGTGTAAAACAAAGAGATTAGACTAATTTTTCTCCAGTGTTCTGCTGGATACCCACCAATAAGTAGGGTATAATGAGTCAGCTTTTAGCTGTGTGTGCTTTTACAGTGATTAATAAGGTACACCTCTAAGGTTGGAGTCCACCTGTGTCTTGGTGTGCAATTTTAGGCAATATAAGTGTCTTGCATGAGTAGTTCAGAAAATAAATGGAAAAATACATAATGGTTAGAGCACGCATCATGGAATTTAGATACAACTGGTGTTTGAATCTTGTCTTTGTGATTCACTAACTGTGTGATACTAGGTAAGTTGCTTAAATTCTCTGGTCTTCAGCTTTTTTTTTTTTTTTTTTTTGCCTGAAAATGGAGAAATCGATAATATATGGCCATTACTTTAGGCATCATAATTCTTCATTTTCCTTGAAGGAGGTGATGAGAGGGTAAAGTTTTTAGGTGGGACAGCCTAGGAAAGTCCTATGCTGGGCACGTTTTGCTCATTCATTTAACGATCATGAATGGACTAACTGATGTGATTTGATACCAAGATAGTGCAGCAGAAACTAACACAACATTGTAAATCAGCTATACTCCACTAAAAATTTTTAAAAAAATAAATGAGATCATTAAAGAAAAAGCCATAACCCCTGTATTCAAGGAGTTTAAGGTCTAATAGAGGAAAATAAGTTTTCATACTTACTTTCTCTGAACTAAAAGACAGATCTTTGAGACTTTCATGTGTAGAAAAATCACCTACTCTTTCTACATTTTAATATTACCATATGCAGAGGTAGGGGTGATATAATTTACCTCATAGACTGGACACACAGTGCAAGTCACAAGGAATCACACATCACACAAGTGTTTTGCTTTTCTCTTTGGTGCTTCTCCTTCTTTTGGTTCATAGCCCATGTCTCCTCATCTTGATACAGGCTTGAGAAGCAGTGTGAAGAAAGGTTGAATTTACTGAGTAAACAAAGACAGATGTATTGCGTGTCTGAGAAGGAAATGATGTCAGAAACGTTTTTTTACCAGATAGTGAGCAAAAGATGTGTGGCGAATGGATGCTCTGTAACTAAGGTGGGTAAAGTCGAGCTTTTCTAGAGGAGCACATTGTGCATGTATATGTGTGACAGATAAGTGTGGAAGATGCTTCCTGTTAATACTAATGAACTTACCTAGGTCACACATTGTTAAAGAAATGGAAAAATAGAAAAGAGGTTTTGAGCATGAGGAGAACTTGAGGTTTGCATGTGAAATTAAAGAGATTGACTAGTAATTGATAGCAGAAATGATTGAGGTTCACTTGAGGATAATTTTTTTTTACTGGATTCTTAAGATAGCATTTACTCATTTAGTCATCAAAGTTTTATTTAATGTCATTTCTGTGTTAGGGTTGGGTCTTGGATAAGAAGTAGAAAGAAATATGTCAAAGTTTATTTAGGAATACATGACAGTAAGACATGACAATAGGGAATTCCCTGGTGATCCAGTAGTTAGGACTCCGAGTTTCCACTGCAGGAGGCCTGGGTTTGACCCCCGGTCAGGGAACTAAGATTCCACAAGCTGCGTGGTGCTGCAAAAAAAAAAAAAAAAAAAAAAGACATGACAATAAATAAGATTCAATGCTAATTACTATATTGGAGGCATGTATTGCAGGAAGATGTAATGGATGAATTGAGTAGTAAGAGCAGATTTCTCAAAAGATGTAACATTTGAATGTAAGACGTACCTCTCTAAATGGATTATTAGTTATCCTGGAATCCTTATCTTAAAAGGTAAGATAATACTTTGTGGGGTTTCCTCTAATCAAGCACAGCTTATTAAGGAATGCACATGTTCAAAAACTTGATTCTATATGGGGGGTTCTGAGTAAAAAGTAGAGTAAGAATCAAGCTTTAATTACTAGGAGTCTAGATTGTGTGTTGGGGGTATGTGTGTGTATCAGTTCCTTCCTTCCACCATCCCTTCCTTCCTCTCTCCAACTGAGATCTGAGAGTCCTTTTCCAGGAACGCTTTTGCAGAATTCAGATCACATACATTTCATCAAAATAGCATCTTTAGGATAATCTCCTCCAAATCTATTTTTGCAGGAGATGAGAGGAGGATAATGTGCAGCTTTTAGAATGACTGTGAATGAATCATGGATTCTGACTTTTGCTTACTTTGTTTTGTTATGAACATTTTGTGACTATTAAAAAAAACAACAAAAAAGGCAACATCATACTGTTGGAAGGCATAATGAAAGAATATGTAATTTTAGCAAAGCCCAAACTAAAACATTGCAAGCTTATGTCTAAGTTTTTCATTACTAAGAAATGTAAACTCTTTTTAATTTTTCTTGCCAAATGGAAGATAGCAGATTGTTCATCTGTTACCATGAAAGTCTATTTTAATTGGCAGTTGTGGTCTCAGAGTAATTTTAAATTGCTACCAGGCTGTCACTTTTGCTTTTGCTGACTTGCAAGGAGGTTTAATGCCTCCCCCACTGAGCTAAACTTTATCCTTCTAGTTGGAACTGTTGGATCACCTCAATTTACGACAAACATAGAAGAGATTTAAATAGTCCACAGAAATGCAATGAAAATGCCTCGGATTTAAATAGTCCACAGAAATGCAGTGAAAATACCTCGGAGTAGAAGTGTGATGTTTTAAAAGCACTCTGAGATCCAGAGATGTAACTTGTTACGAGAAAACACGTGCAACAGATAGAGGCATCCAGGGTAAGGAAGAATAAGGCCCTTTGGTCAGATTGAATTGTTTTAATATACTCATAACAACTACTGGTTAACAAGCAATCACCTCCATATATAGTCTATCAAATTTGATCTTTAGAGTGGCTTATGGAATTAGAATACTACACTAGTTTTCTGTAAGTTTGCTTGCTTTGTCCATCCTGACATGGAGAAACTTCTATGATAATTCTATCTGACTAGGTACTAATCAAGGTTTGTATGTTGGAAGAACTGAGATTGGAAGATTGTATAGGGCAAAAGCAAATATATGGAGCTGGAAACCAGAAGATCTGGAACTTAACCTAGGCTCTTCTGCTAGTTGGCCGTGTGGTTGATGATGTTTGTTTTGTGAAGGGAGTCGGGGTAGGGGGCAATGTGATTCTAGAGATTTTCTCCAGTAAAAAGAATTTATACTTTTTATTCTCACTTCATATGCTGCATTTTTCTTGCTTTACCTCTTCTTACTCTGGGCCTTTTTGTTTTCTCCAGATCTGTACCCATATGTCTCGTGTGTTCTTCCGTAAATAATCTTGTGCATAATACAGAGACATTACGGCAAGATGGATATCAGACTTTGGGAAAATTGTTTTACCTTCTCTGAACCCCCTTTATCCTCGCCTGTAAAATGGTTATATATACCTCATAGGATTACTGTGAGGATAGACTGAGAACTGATGTAAAACGTTTAGGAGAGTGGAATTGCCGAGTGATAGAGTATATATTCAGCATTAGTGTTGCCTGCCTTTTTTTTATTTGTGCCAGTCTGGTATAGTATAGTTTCATCCCATTTGATTTTAATTTTAATTTTCCTGAAGACAAAAGAAGTTGAGCATCTTTTCATGTATCTACTGGTCACTTATGTACCATGTTACATGGATTTCTTTTGTTTTTTAACATCTTTATTGGAGTATAATTGCTGTACAATGAATGGTGTGTTAGTTTCTGCTTTATAACAAAGTGAATCAGCTATACATATACACATATCCCCATATCGCCTCCCTCTTGTGTCTCCCTCCCACCCTGTGGATTTCTTTTTCAAGTATTTTGCCAATGTTTCCATTGGTTGTTTGTCTCTTAATGATACAGCTAAAAGAACATGTACTTTGGATGCAAGTCCTTTGCAAACTGTGTGTTGTATTAGTCTCCTAGTAACAAATCACACAAACTTGGTGGCTTAAAACAACAGAATTTTATTCTCTTGGAGTTGTAAGTCCAGACATCTGTAATCAAAGTATCAGCAGGGCTGAGCTCCCTCTGGAGGCTCTAGGGGAGGTTCCTTCCTTGCCTCATCCAGTTTCTGGTGGCTAGAGGCATTCCTTGACTTGGGGCTACATGAAACCATTCTCTGCCTCCATCTTCTTATGAACCTTAACCTGGCCTTTCCCCTTGTGTCTCTTTGTCTCACATCTCCCTCTCCTTTCTCTCATATGGACATCGGTCACTAGATCCAGTATGGGATTTTGGATCTAGATCCTATATCCAGGATGATCTCATCTCAAGATTCTTAATTACCACTTTAAAAGCCCTTTTTCCAAATAAGATCATAGTCACAGAGTTAGGACTTGGACATATATTTTGGGGAGACACTCCTTCTCTTTGCCCAACTCAAGCTTCAGAGCTCTCTGAGATTCTCCTGTGTCTCTCACACCTCACATCAGTTGCATTGGTTCTGTTATGTTTCCTTCTTTCTGCTTCCATCTCATCACTGCCTTCGATCAGTGCCTTCTCTTGCCTTTCAATAACCTCCTAAGAGATTCTGATATCTGTAGTCTCTCTCTCTCTAGTGATTCCTCCTTTGGCATGGTTTGGCTATTTCAGTTCCCTCAAAAACCATAAAGAGCTTCTCCTTGAAGAAAGAATGAGAAGATGGCAGAGTAGAAGGACGTGCACTCACGCCCTCTTGCTAGAGCACTGGAATCACAACTAACTGCAGAACAATCATCGACAGGAAGACACTGGAACTTACCAAAAAAGATATCCCACATCCAAAGACAAAGGAGAAGCTGCAATGAGATGGTAGGGGAGGCATAATCACAATAACATCAAATCCCATAACTGCTGGGTGGGTGACTCACAAACTGGAGAACAGTTATACCACAGAAGTCCACCCACTGGGGTGAAGGTTCTGAGCTCCATGTCAGGCTTCCAAACCTGGGGGTCCGGCAACGGGAGGAGGAATTCCCAGAGAATCAGACTTTGAAGCCTAGTGATATTTGATTACAGAACTTGGACAGGACTGGGGGAAACAGAGACTCCACTCTTGGAGGGACACACAAAGTAGTGTGCACATCAGGACCCAGAGGGAAGGTGCATTGACCCCGTAGGAGACTGAACCAGACCTACCTGCTAGTGCTGGAGGGTCTCCTGCAGAGGTAGGGGGATGGCTGCGGCTCACCGCAAGGACAAGGACACTGGCAGCAGAAGTTCTGGGAAGTACTCCTTGGCATGAGCCCTCCCGGAGTCCGCCATTAGCCCCAACAAAGAGACTGTAGGCTCCAGTGCTGGGTCAGCTCAGGCCAAACAACCAACAGGGAGGGAACTCAGCCCTGCCCATCAGCAGACAAGCACATTATAGTTTTACTGAGCTCTGCCCACCAGAGTAGCACCCAGCTCTACCCACCACCAGTCCCTCCCATCAGGAAGCTTACACATGCCTCTTAGATAGCCTCATCCACCGGAGGGCAGACAGCAGAAGCAAGAAGAACTACAGTTCTGCAGCCTGTGGAACGAAAGCCACATACACAGAAAGACAGACAAAATGAAAAGGCAGAGGACTATGTACAAGATGAAGGAACAAGATAAAATCCCAGAAAAATAATTAAATGAAGTGGAGATAGGCAACCTTCCAGAAAAAGAATTCAGAATAATGAGAGTGAAGATGATCCAGGACCTCGGAAAAGGAATGGAGGCAAAGATTGAGAAGATGCAAGAAATGTTTAACAAAGACCTAGAAGAATTAAAGAACAAACAAACAGAGATGAACAATACGATAAGTGAAATGAAAACTATACTAGAAGGAATCAATAGCAGAATAACGGAGGCAGAAGAATGGATAAGTGACCGGGAAGACAGAATGGTGGAATTCACTGCCACAGAACAGAATAAAGAAAGAAGAATGAAAAGAAATGAAGACAGCCTAACAGACCTCTGGGTCAACATTAAACACACCAACATTCACATTATAGGGGTCCCAGAAGGAGAAGAGAGAGAGAAAGGACCCAAGAAAATATTTGCAGAGATTATAGTTGAAAACTTCCCTAACATGGGAAAGGAAATAGCCACCCAAGTCCAGGAAGCACAGAGAGTCCCAGGAAGGAAAAACCCTTGGAGAAACATGCTGAGAAACATAGTAATCAAATTGACAAAAATTAAAGACAAAAATTATTAAAGCAACAAGGGAAAAATGACATAACATACAAGGGAACTCCCCTAAGGTTAACAGCTGATTTCTCAACAGAAACTCTACAAGCCAGTAGGGAGTGGCATGATATATTTACAGTGATGAAAGGGAAGAACCTACAACTAAGATTACTCTACCCTGCAAGGATCTCATTCAGATTCGACAGAGAAATCAAAAGCTTTACAGACAAGCAAAAGCTAAGAGAATTCAGCACCACCAAACCAGCTCTACAACAAACGCTAAAGGAACTTCTCTAAGTGGGAAACACAAGAGAAGAAAAGGACCTACAAAAACAAACCAAAACATTTAAGAAAATGGTAATAGGAATATACATATCAATAATTACCTTAAACGTGAATGGATCAAATGCTCCAACCAAAAGACAGAGGCTTGCTGAACGGATACAAAAACAAGACCCATATATATGCTGTCTACGAGAGACTCACTTCAGACCTAGGGTCACATACAGACTGAAAGTGAGGAGATGGAAAAAGATATTCTATGCAAATGGAAATCAAAAAAAAGCTGGAGTAGCAGTACTCATATCAGATAAAATAGACTTTAAAATAAAGAATGTAACGAGACAAGGAAGGACACTACATAATGATCAAGGGATCAATCCAAGGAGAAGATATAACCATTAGAAATATATATGTACCCAACATAGGAACACCACAATACATAAGGCAAATGCTAACAGCTATAAAAAAGGAAACCAACAGTAACACAATAATAGTGGGGGACTTTAACACCTCACTTACACCAATGGACAGATCATCCAGACAGAAAGTTAGTAAGGAAGCACAAGGTTTAAATGATAAAAAAGGCCAGATAGATTTAATTGATATTTATGGGACATTCCATCCGAAAACAGCAGAATGCACTTTCTTCTCAAGCGCACATGGAACATTCTCCAGGATAGATCACATCTTGGGTCACCAATCAAACCTCGGTAAATATAAGAAAATTGAAATCATATCAAACATCATTTCCGACCACAACGCTATGAGATTAGAAATCAATTACAGGGGAAAAAACTTAAAAAACTCAAAAATATGGAGGCTAAACAATATGTTACTAAATAATCGAGAGATCACTGAAGTAATCAAAAAATACCTAGAGACAAATGACAAGAAAAACATGACGATACAAAACCTATCGGATGCAGCAAAAGAGGTTATAAGAGGGAAGTTTATAGCAATACAGTCCTACCTCAAGAAACAAGAAAAACCTTGAATAAACTATCTAACCTTACACCTAAAGGAACTAGAGGAAGAAGAGCAAACCTAACCCAAAGTTAGCAGAAGGAAAGAAATCATAAAGATCAGAGCAGAAATAAATGAAATAGAAACAAAGAAAACAATAGCAAAGATCAATAAAACTAAAAGCTGGTTCTTTGAGAAGATAAACAAAATTGATAAACCATTAGCCAGACTCATCAAGAAAAAGAGGGAGAGGACTCAAATCAATAGAATTAGAAATGAAAAAGGAGATGTTACAACGGACAGCGCAGAAATACAAAACATCATAAGAGACTACTACAAGAAATTCTATGCCAATAAAATAAACAACCTGGAAGAAAAGGACAAATTCTTAGAAAGGAATAACCTTTCAAGACTGAACCAGGAAGAAATAGAAAATATGAACAGACCAATCACAGGTTAATGAAATTGAAACTGTGATTAAAAATCTTCCAACAAACAAAAAGTCCAGAAACAGATGGCTTCACAGGTGAATTCTATCAAAAATTTAGAGAAGAGCTAACAGGCATCCTTCTCAAACTCTTCTAAAAAATTGCAGAGGAAGGAACACTCCCAAACTCATTCTACGAGGCCATTACCCTGATACCAAAACCAGACAAAGATACTACAAAAAAAGAAAATTACAGACCAATATCACTGATGAATATAGATGCAAAAATCCTCAACAGAATACTAGCAAACAGAATCCAACAACACATTAGAAGTATGTGATCAAGTGGGATTTATCTCAGGGATGCAAGGATTCTTCAATATATGCAAATCAATCAATGTGATACACCATATTAACAAATTAAAGAATAAAAACTATATGATCATCTCAATAGATGCAGAAAAAGCTTTTGAAAAAATTCAACACCAATTTATGATAAAAACTCTGCAGAAAGTGAACATAAAGGGAACCTACCTCAACTAATAAAGGCCATATACGACAGAGCCACAGCAAACATCATTCTCAGTGGTGAAAAACTGAAAGCATTTCCTATAAGATCAGGAACATGACAAGGATGTCCACTCTCGCCACTGTTATTCAACATAGTTTTGGAAGTCCTAGCCATGACAATCAGAGAAGAAAAAAAAATAAAAGGAATATAAATTGCAAAAGAAGAAGTAAAACTGTCACTGTTGGCAGATGACATGATACTATACATAGAGAATCCTAAAGATGCCACCAGAAAACTATTAGAGGTAATTGATGAATTTTGTAAAGTTGCAGGATACAAAATTAATGCACAGAAATCTCTTGCATTCCTATACACTAACAACGAAAGGTCAGAAAGAGAAATTAAGGAAACACTCCCATTTACCATTGCAACAAAAAGAATAAAATACCTAGGAATAAACCTACCTAAGTAGGTAAAAGACCTGTACTCAGAAAACTATAAGACACTGGTGAAAGAAATCAAAGATAACACGAACAGATGGAGAGATATACCATGTTCTTGGATTGGAAGCATCAATATCATGAAAATGACTATACTACCCAAAGCAATGTACAGATTCAGTGCAATCCCTATCAAACTACCAATGGCATTTTTCACAGAACTAGAGCAAAAAATTTCACAATTTGTATGGAAACACGAAAGACCCTAAATAGCCAAAGCAATGTTGAGAAAGAAAAATGGAGCTGGAGGAATCAGGCTCCCTGACTTCAGACTATACTACAAAGTTACAGCAATCAAGACAGTATGGTACTGGCACAGAAACAGAAATATGGTTCAGTGGAACAAGATAGAAAGTCTAGTGATAAACCTACGCACCTATGGTCAAATAATCTATGAGAAAGAAGGCCAAGGATATACAATGGAGAAAAGACAGTCTCTTCAATAAGTGGTGCTGGGTAAACTGGACAGCTACATGTAAAAGAATGAAATTAGAACACTCCCTAACACCATACAGAAAAATAAACTCAAAATAGATTAGAGACCTAAATATAAGACTGGACACTATAAAACTCTTCGAGGAAAACATAGGAAGAACATTCTTTGACATAAATCACAGTAAGATCTTTTTTGATCCACCTCCTAGAGTAATGAAAATAAAAACAAAA